TGAACAATTGGCAATGACACCTTCTTGACTTCTAAAGACTGCTTTAGCCTGCAAAAGTCACTTTGGAACTGGACAGACATCTGCAAAAGTCAGTTTTGAACAGAACTCGTAAAAAATAGAGGTGTCCTAAAAGTAAGGATTACCCTAATAATGAAAAACCCAAGTTCACCGTACGAAAGGTTTGTTTGTGCCACATGTTTGCTGTCGAAAAGCTGCAAAGAGACAGCTTTCGCCTCCGCCCAGCAGCAATGGATTTTGTTCCGCAAGGACACGCAACCCGCACAGGCCCGCCAGTGGGATGTAATGATGAAGGTTGAATTCTTCAAAGACAAACTACAAAAACGCGGATACAACCAAGAAGATTTAGCCCTTCTTCCCCAAAAAGGCGAAACTCGCGTGAACTCTAAAAAGCGTGCAAAAACCGAAAAGAATATCCCGCTGGTCTTTGTTTTACCCTACAACCCACAAATTAAACACCCAGCTCTTAAGCAGGCCCTTCTGAAACACTGGAATCTGATCAGCGATAACGATTTTCTCAGTGCACTCTTTGCGACCCAACCCATCCTGGCATACAAACGACAAAAAAACATAAAAGATGACCTGGTCCGATCAAGGATTATCCCATCTCCACCATCCAACCAAGAAAAAAACTTGGATGAGGAGAACGTTCAAATCCTTTTGGAACTTCTTGAAGAACAGAACTAACATAATGGTCATTTAGGCATGGATTTCGAAATAAAAATAAAAAATAAGGAATCCACTTTGATCATTACAAGAAAAGCTAACGCGTAAAATATTCTTTACCATCATTAGCAATAAAGTAAATACGTACAAAAGAATTAAACAAAGGGTGACTGATGAAGTGCGTAAAAAGGGCACAGAAAATATGCACTGTTTCCCCCGACACACAAAACAGAAAAACAGGTGGGACGGCATATTATCACCGGTATAAATCAAAACATTAAGTGAACTAGAAACAAAAACCACATGTACACAAACCAGTCCCTGCGTCACCTAAACACCGGATGGGTTTTTTTGAAACTCCCGCTCTCCGGTTATCACCTAAATCTAATGGGCCCGCTGGCGAGGTATGTGTTGACAAGTTATAACCCACCCATCACCGCAACCCAGCAGTGGAACTGATTTTACTCCCTATATGCGTATTGAATTTCCAAAAAAGGAAAAATAACCTTAACAAATACGCCCTAGGCAGTTTAGTCATATAACTACACAGGTATCCATACCAGTGCTTGTAAAAATAAACGAAAATCTTCCCTAGTTGGTTGCAAACACAATGTTTAAAAAAAAAAAAGATTCATCAGCTCGCAGAGCCCCTCGTACTCCAATGTTATCATACATCCCATAAAAAGAAAAGAATGAGGAACGGCCCTGCTGATGCTGATAGCAAATCCCATCCCCTTCCCATGTTTTAAACCCTAATTCACAGCGGCAACTTTCTTGGAATGACCTTGGAACTTTCCAACAAGTTATTAATATCAACAGATTATTCCCTGAATTTTGCTTGCACAAAACCGGTTCTTCCTTGCTATTTTCCTAGCCAGAAAACCACTTCTTTTTAAGAAAACACAAGTCTGATAAAAACTTAAATGCATGGTGGCGGCCAAACTCCATTCCATTTAACTTAAAATGTAGTGGCGACATGTATGATTACGCCCCTTCCTACTAAACACATCTTTGCGGCCTCCAAGACTGCAACCTGTCATTCCCAACGGCATATCAGCTGGCAAAACACAAGAAAACTGAAGGCCACCAGTGCAAGCAAGGAAGACGGACAACATCACGCCGTCACTGAAAAGTTTTCTGGATGACATGTGACATACATGGGTATACATGTACATGTTCAAGTATAATGTACATGCAAGTGCATGTACATGTTTTGTTTTTTAACTTCTGCATATTAACAAATCAGTTTTTTATTAATCGAAATTAGGGGTGGGTGGGTGGGTCAAAGTAATTTGGATAAAAAGTCGAAATTTTAAAACACTGAAAATTCTGAATGGCCCCTTAGTAATCCATAATGTCACTTTCTGGGAACCAGGGTATCTTAAGAAAACTAAAACACGAATTACCATCATATATATTATTTTCAGTTTAAAATACGTTGTCCCTGCCTCACCTTCAATATGGTATTTTAGCATGGGGTAACACCTACCCAACCTTTATCAATAAATTGTATAGAATGCAAAGAAAACACTTAGGATAATCAATAACTCCAGATATACAGAACATATAGCACCAATGCTTTGTAAATACAAAACCTTATCCGTTTTTGACTTGTATAAATACCATCTTGGGGTATTAATGTATACATTCGAAACAAACAAATTACCTAAACTATACATTCGCTTTTCAAAACAAATTCAGATATCCATTCTCATAATACAAGGTCATCTTCAAACCTGCATCTCCATAAAGCTAAAACATCTCTTTACTTTTGTCAGAGACCAGGGACCTCTATTGTGGAACCATTTCAAACCAATGCCATCTTTAGATCAATGAAGAACTTCAAAAACCACATGAAAACATTGCTACTGACAAATTAAACTGATTATAAAGTTTCCCAATAAATCGTATATTCATGTCATCTCACAGATTGTTGAAAAATATAGTAGTTTTATAATTCTTTGGCCACTTCTTGCTTCTTTGCCCCTTCCTCCCTTACCTGTTGTGTAATTAATTAATTAATTTATTTTTTGTAATAAATATGGACGTAAGAAAGTACTTAATGATGTTTACCTACCAATTAACATTTTAAGGTTAACTTTCCCATTTTAAGGGTACCTCCAGAAAAAACGTGCCGGCTCACATTACAACGTATACATGTCCTGGACATTAGAAGAGCAAACCAGCTTTTTTTCACAAGCAAGGGGATTTGTCAGAAAGAAGCCAGTTCGAAGGAACCAGAAACAGATGCACTTGGAGGTGAGTAGACATCTCAGAAGATAGTCAAAGGAGAATTCCAACCGATGCTGTGGTGTCTTGTGGTTGCTCTGGTAAAGGGAATGGTGAAATGCACCCTTCACTCACAAGGAAGAGCTTTTGGGGCAGAGCCAGCTAAAAAAGGTTACGAAAGAATCGAGTCTCAAGCACTGGTGAAATTGATAGCATAGGGGAGCATGATCGCCTGGTAGATGCTTCAACCAGTGGTGGAAAGACCATTGAGTCCAAGCAAGAGGAATCGGCTTCAAGAAACGCGTAAACAGTAATTGTTTCCCGAGATGAGGTTGATATCATTCCCAAGATGGTTTTCAGTGAGCAAGATGATCAACTTGGTCCAGAAATTCCAGTGTCAGGCAGTGGTGAAATTAATGGTTCTAACAGTGCTTGAGGACTCGAGTTCCGATTTTCCAGGACTCGGAATCGGATAGTGGGGACTCGGACTCGGACAATGAGGACTCGATTATCTTAAGGACTAAGCCCGAGTCCAGACAAAAAAACAATTATTTTATCTATGACTTTACCGCAATTTCACTTTAAGAAGACGTAGTTTTTAGTTTTCAAGATAACGTGTCGAGAGTCACACCAACTTGAACGCATCACCTCGCCTACGTACTTAGCTAGTCCTTCGTGACGTGAACTCGTGCGGTCCATATTGTGTGATACAGATACTTTGCTCGGTGTAGGCACGGACGTCCGCGAGTGCCCATTCGGTTTCCTGACGAAAGACTCCCTAACGACGCCATGGAACCAGACTAATGAGACTGTATAACTGGCACGTTCACTGGCGTGGTGGCTTGCATGACATCTTTTGCAAAACCATGTGTGAATTAGAGTTGTTGGCTATTCGTAACAGTCACCGACTCCCAACAGTTGGCTGAAACGTCACGTAATCCCCCATTTAATGATGGCATTCCAATGGCGCGTGATCTCTAGATTTCTATTGTGACATTGAAGTGGTGATCCTTCTCGCACGCACGGAGTGATTTTGTTTTATACCACAAAAAATCCATCTCAGCACCGATTGACTTAAACTACAAACGAACAGTCACTGAGGAAACACTTAAAAATTTTCAGACCAGTCTCATAGGGTTAGACATGCACAGGGTGACAAGTGATGGCCAGATTTGGGAATCTTTTCGATGATATTTAAGTCCCTAGTAGTAGTATTAACGCGGCAGGGGTCAAACAAATCGACGTTGAGACAACTCCACTCAGGATAGCATGACCGTTGTGCGGTGAGACAACTCGACCGTTGAGACAACTTGACCGTATGTGCGTAATAAATTGGGGAAGGACAAGTCGATTTTTTGTGGGGTGGAGTATTGGGCCTGGGAAAGTAAAAAAAAACTGATTAAAAACTGTGGTTCAAATATCTTATAAAGTAAGAGGTACTTTTATATATCTGCCTTGTTGCTGCAGAAACCGTGCACAGTGACGACGCTTTTGCCGGGCAAAATTATGTGACTTTTTACCCGCGCCATATATTTTACCACAAAGTCAAGTTGTCTCAATGGTGGAGTTGTCCCAGTCGAGTTGTCTCAAAGGTCGACTTGTCTCAGGGGTTGAATTGTCTCAACGGAAGGAATTTTTATACAAGTACACCACTAGTTTTTCCCTGTAGTGACCGATCAACCATCAGAGAGGGATAACATGTCCTAAAACATGAAATTTAGCAGGGGAAATATTGAAGCATTTAGTTGGGAAGTGTGGAAACACAGAATTTTTCAGACCAGTCTCATACGGTTTGACCACAGGGTGTCAAGTGGCATACGTATATGGAGTCTTTCCTAATAATGTTTGCTTTGAACCTTTATTTTTAGAACAATTTAAGTGTAATGACATTTCATCCAAAATTTTCCATTACATTCGGTAAATATTTTTTTTTTCCTATGTTTACATACTTGAAAATATTAAACTGTTTATACATATATTTTTTTCTGGAATATGAAATGCACATTACACATTTTATTAATTCATCAAGGGTTACATGTATGATGTTCTGTATATTGCTTTTCTCCAAACAGCATGGATCTACATGAAATATTCATGTAGAGTGTATAAATAAATTGATAAAATATCTTACATTTCATTCATTTTATGTCTTCAGTTGGTGACATCAGCAAAAAAATGACGTCTCTGCGGACACAGTATTCCAGATTGGTCAACCCTCTACCTAGTGGATCTGGTGCAAAAAAGACCCCCGGCAGGAATGGATTCTAAAGAATCTAGATTTCTTGGCACGCCAAGGTAATCAAATTATTTTTTTCTCATTGTAAACCTACATATATGTCAAGGCCATAGAGCAATATTGAATTGCTGGAGTGCTAACTCAATATTCTGCATGTGGAGACGCTTTGAGGCCGTCCTGGGCGTAGACATTTTTAATTCAGGCGCATGTTTGAAGAACATAATGACATTAGATGTATTTAATTTGGAAAGTGTACTCTACATGCAACGGACAAGTAGAACATACGCAAACAACCTCAGCGCGTCATCGACGGTTCAAAAAAACGTGACTGCAAAAAGCATCTGCAGCGAATACAATCATGCACGAGCAAACTGACATGCTCATTTGCTGATCGTGCATTTCGATTTTGGGCGTATTGGCTTCGATAACTCACTGGTATGGAATACAAACGCAGATATGCAAATAGCCGTACAAAAGCCGTACGAAATTGCTAGGTCTCCATAGGTTTGTGCACAAACATGGATGCACCCAGCCGGCATTACTTTGTACACAAAGTTAGCGCTTTAGTAATTTAATATAGCTCTATGGTCAAGGCATTGCTAGAGAAGTTCGAAGAGAAGAGTTCAAATTGTTTATACACCCCCCACCTCCCCTATTCAATAACAAATATTACTTTTTTTGTTGCACTGTTGTGTTTGCAGGGTAATTTTTGCATATAGTCATACAAAGTGCAAAAGTGTAGTGCAAGATTGCTTAGGCCTACACAATGCTATTCTGCCATTCTACATATCCCTCCTCTGAGGAAAAGTAGTCGCACAACAAATCACGGTGCTCTTTTTGCAGAGCACACATGATTTGTTGTTTTTGGTAGTGCTGCTATTGGCAGGTTCACTAGTGTTCTCCACCTTCCTGGTACTATCTCACTGGTTGAAGGGTTTTCCGAGTCAGCATCCCTGGTGGTACATACACTGCTTTTGTGAAAGGACTATCGGGTTTAGCAGGACACGAAACCGATTGGCTAGTATGCCATATGCATTTTCAACCACTCTCCTAGCTCTTGATAATCTGTTATTGAACACCCTTTCTTTTCTGGACAACTGCCTCTTACTATAAGGCTACATCAGATATTTTCTTAAAGGAAATGCATCATCTTCTACCATGACATAAGGCAGCTGCTTGGTTGGATCACCTTGCAGTGGAGCAGAGCCTGGGATGTTCAGTGCATTCCCTTTAATTGCACGAAACAACGATGAGTATGAAAACACTCCTCCATCAGCAGCTCTGCCATTGCATCCAACATCAACATATAAGAACTTGTAATCTGCATCGACCAACCCTAATAGAACAATATTGAAGGTGTGCTTATAGTTATCGTACATGGACCCACTGTTACCAGGAAGTTGGATGCGAATGTTCTTTCCATCTAAAGCACCAATACAATTGGGGAAGTTACAGCATGTCCATGGGCGTCGCCAGGATTTTTTCTAGAGGGGGGAATTTTTTGTTTTGCCCAAAAATGCTTGTATTTCTCAACACATTCTCGATTTATCAGTTTTAGAGGGGGGCAGGGACATTTTGCCCCCCCCTCCACTCATTAAATTTACACCACTTTGTCTTCGCGCCTCTTTTTCTTTTTTTTTCTTTTTCTTCCTTTTTTTTTTTTGCTTTTCCAGGGGAGGGGGGGGGGGGGGAAGTCCCTTCCCCCCCCCCCCCCTCGCGACGCCCATGAGCATGTCTGAAACTGGCTCGCAACTTTATTCCATTTGTCAGGAGTATCTCGAATCTGGAGGAAAATAATATAAATTTGTGTTAAATTTTATTTTTTTTCAGATTGATTCGATTCAACAGGATGATGGAGAAGATGATGAAGCAGATGATAACACCAGGGTGGCTGTGGTGCAAGATGACATCCCGAGACCATCTGCAAACACCCCGGACAACAAAAAGAAAAAACGAAAGATTGAGGAGGATGAATTCAGTGTCAAGTCTCTGCAGAAAGTTATGGAGGAGCCAGAGGAAGACGACGACACTGTTTTTGCTAAATATCTCACAAGAGAAATGAAAAAAATCCAGGATGAAAGAACGAAACATTTTTTTGCGACAAAAGTTTCAAAATTTGATTGTTGAAGCAAGAATGGGCAAGCTGATGCCTTACCAAGGACCACATGCATTTTCAGAGATGTGATTTCTTTATGTTTTTTGCCTCAACAATTATATATTGAAACTTTTGCTGTATTTTTTTTTTTCAAATACTGCTCCCAGTTTACCAAATTTAGTAAGGTACCCCTCCAAAAAAAGTACTTGGACTCTGGTCGGCGCACGCGTCGATTTTAATCATGCGCGTCAACCGTTTTTTTTTTTTTTTTCAAATTAAAACGGAAGCTACAACAGCGCCCTCTATTGCTGCACCTCCTCAACATTTTTGTACCAGGGATGGGCAAATTGCACCAAGGCAAATGATTAGGTGCACCAAGGCAAATTATGGAGGACACCAATATATAATGAGGACATAAAATAGCAAAATAGTACATACCTTGTCTGTACAATTCAAGCTTGAAAAAAAAGCCGCCAAAAAAAAAAAGAATGCGTCGCCCCAAAAAATTCCGGAATTTCGGTCTGACCAGAGACCGATTTGTTTTTTAAAAAAATTGGCCTAACGCCCACTATTTTTCCATTTTTGAAAATTACAGCAAAATAAAATGTTATTGCTATTGCAACTTTAAAGTTTTCATAATGTTTATCCCCCTTTGGATCTGTCTGTGTGTGTGTTTTGTTTTAGTTAGGTTGATTCTTGTCAGCACATAACTTCAGAAATACTGTATTAGGAACTTGAAATTTGGTTTTTGGGGCCGACAGGATAAATGTTTCTTCCGTTTATGTAATCCACGATGTGCTTTCTTTAATAAGATTGTATAAATTCTTGCGACTATTTTTATTAACGTTTTTAAGATGCTGACTTATTTATTGAACAAATACATGCATTCGTTGATATGCCTTCATGAATGCTCCTTCCAAAGCTTTGTGTATTGCCAGGCAGGTTTCCAACACAATCTCTGAAATTGTCCTTTCTCCAACTCGATAGAGGAAAGACAGAGTTGCAAAGCTTACACCTTGGATATTGGAATAAAATAAACGCATACCGATTAAAATGTGACATGACCAAATGAATTAAATTTCCCAATAAATCGTTAACATCGAAGAGCCTTTATGGGCCCCCAATTTGTTTGTAAAATTTGTTTTTTTAATCCAGTCAGATTTCCCTTATGAATAAACAGAAATCACTGTTTTAGTAACATGTCTTTAATTAAATGCTTTCTGTCCAATCTCAAGGAGAATTTCTTGAATAAAAAGATACAACAGAAAAAAATATAAATTAAATTTGGTGTTTAAGAAATTTGTTTAATACACAAACATACCCCTCTACCACTTAAACCCCCCTCATTTGGAATCCGACCTTGGTTTAATAATTTTTTGTCAGGGGGCGCTGTTACCAGTTAAACAGTTGTGTGTACATGTGTTCCCCGATCAGGATGTTTCGACGCGCTGACGCAATTTTCATACACTAGCCTGAATAAGTGAATCACACGTGACAGTGTTTTAGCCAACCAGGATAAAGAACAAACGAGGCGTATACTAGTGCCCTTTGGATCAACACTGAAGTTGCGTTAGCTTCCGGTTTTAATGGTTCCAAAAATACTTCAGTGGGCGTGGTTTAGACTGAACCGACGTCACACTATATTTACAAACAAGATAGACGACCCGGCTGGGGAAGCTCTGATCAATGAGGGAAACGGGCGAGACACATTAAGTATCACAAAAGTATCCCACCCCATATCTAAAAGGGATCAGCCTACGTCTTCAAAACAAACAAATTTGCTAAATAGGCCTAAATAGAGATCCGTGTTAAAAATACCAGTGTCCAAGAAACTGAGTGTTATCGCCAGTCACTCCTCCGGGTGGATGCTGATTCGGAAAGTTGTGTCTTGTTTCTGGATGTCCTTTCGAATTTTCGTCAACATTTCGTCAAACGCGCCTTGGTCTAGTCGGAGAAATCTTTTGAAGTCTTCTGGACTTTCTGACAAGAACTCTTCTATTAAATTTACATACGCCCCACTTTCTTCACGAACCTTAATGAATGGTTTTACCCAAACTTTCCTGTTTCTCAAAATCCTTTTTCTTTTTCTCCTTCTTCTTGTTATCAACAGGGTGACGATAGCAGCGGCGATAATTTTCTTTTAGTTTTAGCCATCGAAAAAGTTAAATGTGCCGCCTAAATAAAAGAACGCGCATGCGCTATTCGTAATTCGGATCGTAGTCAGGATCGTATAGTGTGTGGTGGCCTTTATAACACGTCGCAACTCGCGACGCGTCGTATCTTCCACTTCACGAAAGTTTTGATGAGTTGAACACGTCGTAAGTTCCTTGACAACGGCTTAAGACACGTCGCAAATTAAGACGTGTCTTGTTGTCATTGCAAAAAAAGAAGTCATTTCTAAGCCAGTTTTACGCTATAAACATTACATTAACGAGATTATAATACCGAGGCAATGTGTGTAAAGTTGTAAATAGAAAATTCATTGAATAATTATGAATTAGACCGGAATATTAGAATTGAAATTAAAATTGCACGGCCGCCATTTTGTTTTACGTTTTAACAAATTTCGAGCTGAGATCCAACAACACTTTGTTGAATATCAGACCACTATTTACTGTACGCTGACTAAATACAAACAGCCACCGAGTTGTGCTATAAATACACCTACGACGCGTCGCACTTACGACGTGTTTTGTTAAATAAATTGCAGGACACGTCGCAGCTTGCTGCGACGCATTGAAGAGATACGACGCGTCGCATCGCTGCATCGTAAGTTACGAAGAGTTTGATGAAATCGGGTGCTGACCACGCTACAATATGTTTGATTAACCACTAGCACGTCTTCAAATCGTGTGCGTGTCACTTTTAGAGAAAGAATGCTTGTAAGCGCCAAATGATACCGGCATTTTACATGTAGAGAGAGAATATTCACACAACACACATAAGATAATTTGATCAAACTTAAAAGTGGCACAACATCGATTTTGGGTAGCTTAAACTAAGTTGTATATATCTCTGGACTGAGAAAACCAAATCAGATGAAATAAAAATCAGCTGAAAGCCAAATTTATTTGTTGTCTTTTCCGAGTGCTTGGCTTTTTTAAAAACAATTTTCATGACTTTATAATTAAAAAGATGCATTCCACTTGCACCATTTACACCACCCAAGTTCCCAGATTTCTGAGGTATAATAAAGAAAAAAATAAACAGCTAGCTAACTCTCTCCAGGTATCCTGCACGAGAGCCCTTGTGCGAGAGTCTGTACTCTTTTACCCATCTTTAGGCTTTGTTCTTGATCCAGTGTAAACTTTCCTCTACGAGGGGCAATCCCATCCTGACGCTGGGGTTTGTAAAATGTCCCCACGGGAACCTGTTGTATCATCAGTGAGACACAAATGCAAACATTGAAAATATTCGGTAGACGTGTTAGCCTGCTAATAAAGTATGGAAAATTTACATATCACTTTTATGACTATCGGTAAACTAGCAACAACCACTTCATCAGATGCAATCATGAATTGCTAATAAAGCTTAAATGTAAAGTGTCACCCTAGTTAGTCATTAAAGTGTTATTTACATGTAACTTTTCGATTTAACATTGAAACTGGCATTATAACGACCACTAGCTTTTAGAGATTGTATTACTGCATGTTGTTACTGTTAGTCAGCCCAAAAGATACACTTTAAAATACATTAATTATTCTTAAGAATACGTTACTCTTCAATATAGGATCTACAGGTTATTTCCTGATTGCAATATATTTTGGGGTCATCAGCATAACAATGAGAATTTAAGAACTCACCGAGACACTTTCACTGCAACTGCCCGACATCGATGGCTCTGCGGATGATGGCCCCTATTATGAAGCAAAATGAAACGTTACGCATTTAAATAAAATATATGCAATCTCCTATTTTTACTTACAGGATATGACCTCAAGCACAACAATAATAATAATTTTATATTGTGCCAAATCTGTTTTGTAACTGTTTCAATGTTAAGATCATTGTCATCAATCGGCGCAAAAACAATCAACAGTTGCAAACATTGAAAATGTTCTACTTATTTGCCAGAATGGGACGTGAAAATACCGACATGTTGTCAAGCAATATGGCACCATATGTACACTAATTTGGTTAGTTCTTTAGACACTGCACCAAATATGCACCAGTTTCTCAGATCAGCACTTGTAGGTCATATGTAAAAATTGTTTTTCCCCCATATTTGGCAGTTGACCTATGACCTTACATTCCATTCACAACACGCCCCTGCAGAGTGCGGATTTGAATTCAGTCAGGTGGCAGTTAGAGCACAGTATAGTGGTGGCAGTGTTAAGGCAGTTGTGGCATTACATGTATGTTGCCTAGAAAGTACGCATTTTGTGGTAGAATTTGCAACATTTTTGCCACTTTTTGCATCAGCAATGTGTGTCTTGTTTGGCTGATCATGCATCGACAGATGATGCTGCATTTATGTGCATTTTCTGTGAATTCGAGATGAGCAGCTTCAACCCTTAATGGAAAGGACATGTACATTATGGACATGTTGGAATGGACAAGATGGATGATGTGAGATCTTGTGTCTTGACAATGTACATCTAAAACTGAGTGTGTGTATGGATGCCTATGGAGGGATTGGACGGCCATTTCAAGGATTGAATCGTGTGAAGAATTATATTGGAAACATGTTTTCAAGGATTTACTAGTATATTTTAAGTTTACAGTATGTATGAGGATGGACTTTCAACGTGCTAGCATCTTGTGTAACTCACCCATCGTTTCCATGTTTTGAGCTCTACAGTATGTATGTCTTCATGTTGTTCATACCACATTTATTGCATGGGAAAGAATGTAAA